TGGCATCCCTGCTCATTTGCCCGTTTTTTTCTCAAATTTATAGTTAAAACTGGATTCAGGAAGGTTTACAAGCCTGTGTCTACAGGAGAGATAAGTTCACATGTCCATCTTGATCTTTGACCGGAAGTAGATAAAAATCCTGACAATTATCATCATCTCTCACAGAGATGTGAGCATACTTTTTTCAAGTTAAGTTATCATGAATGGATTAAACACCCTATCATCCAACAGACTCTCCAGTTTGTACTGTTAGACATTATAATTTCAACTCAATTACTGTTAATAATAAAAGAAAAAAACTTTGTCTTTCCTCTGAAAAGATTTATCTGAACAGACTGCTGTGAATTGTTGTGAAGTATTTTTAAGATTAGTATGGTGTTATTTAAAATCTCTCTGCCTGAAGTTTTAACCAAACCAAAAAAGATGACAGAAAAAGTGGATGTTATTTAAGACTTACAGCTATTGTAAATGAAGCTGTTATATGATTGAGAACTTAAAATAGAAAAGCAATAAAACAAATGTTCCAGTCTCAACTTTGCAAATTAAGATTTTATTTTTTTTTCATTTTTGCTTTATCTAATCCTGTCAATTTTCAGAAATCCCTTGAAAGTTGAATTTACATAACAATAAATTTTTTGAACAAGGACTTTTTTTGTTGATCCAATTGTTTCCCAAACAGACAGACAAATTCCTTTCTTATCACCTTTTCATAATAAGAAACTAGTTTGTTTTCCTTTAGTTCTGTAATTTAATCATTTAACAAACCTAGTAATAATCCCAGCGGATGATGTATGCTGAATAATTGCAATGTCCCATTTAAAGGATTTAATTAAAGTATATTAATCAGCTGCATTTTATTACCATCTATGTAGAAGAAATATAAGAAAAAAGACATATAAGAAAATAAGAAATTTAAGAAACTGAAAATGTAAAAGAGTTTTATAAAATTATTAACAACATAAGCTTATTGTTTGTACATATCAACTAGATGAAGAGTACTGGTTAAAAAATAAATAAAAATAAAATAAAAGATATTTTACACTGAAACTTAGCCACATGCGGACCCCTTGCTGGTTGCAAAATACCTTTAATTTGGGTCCTTGGATTAAAAGTTATTTGAATTAACCAGCATCAGTGCTATACATAGATTTAGGGGATATAAATAAATGTAATATTTAGAGCTTTAATATGCATTTGTCTCGATGGTGTGATTTGCAGGATTAAGGTAAAGTTCTACTCAAAATGTATGTAAAGGCTTTTTGGTGAAGTAGAAAAATGACCTGGTTCAAAGTAGGGGTGATAATTGGCATGGGTGTTCTAATCCGATACGTGTCAGGATACTATATTATCAGAATATTGCAGAATCTCAATATATTGCAATATTTCTCTCAGCTATCAAAATCAAATGTATAGATAAAAAAGCAAGTACTGTATTTCTTCATCAGAAGATATTGATTATTTAATTATTTTTGTGATGTTTGGGGTTTGAGTCAGTCCACGTCTTCAACTGGGATTGCCTCACTACAGATATAGGGCTGTGCTGCACAGCAAAAGGGCTCCACAGCGCTATCTGCCAGAGTGGGGGTGCAGAGGTAGCCCATTCTCCCTCATAGTTTTTGGTAAAATGTTACGTTTTTTTGTAGTTTTCTTTTTTTTAATCGATACTAGGAAGTGAAAGATCTATATTATATGAGGCAGCCGAAAATCATGATATATTGCCGAAATGATTTTTTTCCTACACCCGTAGTTCAAAGGCATGTTAAATAGTGGGCTGCCATGTACTAAATGAGAGAATATGTGGAATTTATTTATAAAAGTAACTAGACTTAGGTCATTTTTATTTTGGAAACGACTCAAAGTTAATCTCTAAGAAGTTATTTTAAAGAACTTTTATGTACAATTCTGATGAAACTGCGAAAGTTAAGGACACACAACATAACTATTCCAGTTTTCAAAAAGTTTGAGAACAGCTAGAGTTCTCCCTGACAGGTTTAAGCAGATTATTTACAAAGTAAGACCTGTTGATGATAACAGACTACAGACAGGGACACTGTTAGTCCTCCAGAGTCGATGACATGCATGTTTAAGATGTCTCCCTGCTTTAATATACCTGATTCAAATGATCGCTGTTCAGAAAAAGCCTAAAAATAAGCCATTAATGGAAATCAGAAGTTGCAGAGACTCAATCGCCTGAGAATATTTTCATCATATATCATATATTGCCATTAGGCAAAGGTTTAATATTTCATATTTGTGCATGAGACAAAAACAGTTATTTTAATTTCTGACTTGAGTAGAGATTAAAACAGTGTTAACAAAAACTTTTGCAGAGATGAAAGAACTTTAATTAAATATAGTGAAAGACAAAAAGTTATTTTACACTCCAAGATTCAAAATAATACAAAAACAACTTCATCATCTTTACAGTAGTTTCCTTGCTGCTTTTCCCTCTATCTGTACTGCTGATAACATTAAGGCTCAAGAACATAAGCCTGAATGCAGACAAGCCAAAATAAATCATGTTGCTGTTGTCAGACAAGTGCTCTGGATCTTACTTGCTTGGGCAAAATCCTTTACAACTTTACATACGTAGGCAAAAAAAAAAAAGAAAAAAAAAGAAAATTCTGCTTTAAGCATCACTTTTTCTTTTTTCAGAAAATGAAAATCCTTTCTCTCATACGTTTACACACCCACACTGTCAGTCTCACACCAGAAGAGTGGTCTTTCAGCCCATGATTGAGATTAAATAAATAGGTGGCTCATTTATTCTAAAGAAAAAGAAAAGGAAGACAAAAAACAAAACAAAATAAAAAGTCTTACAAGATGAAATGATAAAGTTCATATAGAGCCTGAATACAAGTAAAAAGAAAAGAGAAGCTAAAAAAAACTGTCAGTTCTTCAGTAATAGATTTGATCCTAATTAAAGTCTACTACATAAAATACAAACAGAATTATTAGAACATATTCAAAAACTCTATATCTACGTGTCACAGCCATGTCATACAAAGTAAAAAAAAAAAAAGATGACAAATTCAAAAATATCCTAATGTCATTGTATTAAAAAAGATACAGCATGGCTTATTAGAGCTTGATTGAAATTAGCAGTGGAAATATGGCTTTTACAAAAAAGACACTATTTAACAAAAAGAAACAAATAAAAAAAAAAAAAGATAAGACATGTAATTTGTGGTTTAAACCAGTTCTGTTTTAAATAATAGTCTAGTTTAGTTTTGGAAATATGTCCAGCTCCACATGTTCTCTGATCCCTTTTTCTGATAAATCAAAGTAGAAAGAAAATAAATAAAATTACAAACCAGTAAAGGTACAAACAAGTTGAAATTTTTTAAGTTATATGTTCAAACAATCCTTGTTAAGGAGGGAAAACTTGAAGAATGAATACATGTAAACTTCTTGTGCTTCAGATGATGTTGGTGTGAAAGGAATGAGTCATGATGGTAACCTCACTGCTTTAGTCTGTGACCCCATCCAACGGATCAAATATGTTGATAAGACTGCTCACTAGTGCAGTTAATTACATTAAAAAGCTATTGCTCATGATATTTTTTTAAGACTAGTCATTGACAAAGGTTTTCTGCGCTGTGAAAAAAACATCTTCCATTTTTTTTAATATAGGAGGGAAAAATAAGTGCTTCCTAAACATGTGCAGAATTAAATGAGAACCCCCCCCCCCCACGCCAACAAAAAACAATATAGTTAAGTAGCATAGCAATAGCAGCTTGAGTCAAACGCCGAATTTAAGGGTGAGACACAAGGTTTAAGTTTTAAATATAGGTCAAGCTTGAGAAAAAAGATTAGTTAATGGTAAATATCTAACTGCTGCAACAAAGTTATTTTTTTTTTGTTCTTTATTTAGTTAAGCCTAAAGCTATTTATACCCCTGGCACATTTAAGATTTAAGAAATCATTTAATTGGACTCATATGTTTCCGGTGGGAGGGGAAAGGGCTGAGGAAAACAGCTATTCCCCCCCAGTTGATGATTGTTGATTCATGTACTGTTGTTGATCTGATCCAAAGTCAGATGAAATAGTGGCATTAAATGTTGCTCTGCGTACTCTTGTATCAATCAAACTGGCCCTGGATCTGCACATTTTGTAGAAAAATACATCATCGTAGGGTCATCGTAAGGAACACGAAGCAGAGTGACTTATCTGAGCTAAAAAAAAACAAATTATTAAAAGTGTCAAAACCCATAAAGGGTCCTTCAGATTACTACAGCGTTTCTCGTTTTCTTGCAGCCAGTCCAGTTCCACATCCTGATAAAAAAAAAGTTTTTGCTTTAAAAACAAGGAAAATATTAATAACTGAAATATGGCCAAATTAATTTTCTTATTAATTTTATGGCATAATCGTAGTGGGATTAACAAATGTAAGGTAATTAATCATAAAATAACTTTAATAGGAAAGGTTTTTACCCAAATTTTTGAATAAAAGATGCTGTTTCTAAGGATTAGAAGATATATTTTGTTCTCCGTCACAACTCACATTGTTAAACTGTAAAATCAGGCATTTTAAATCTGAAAGGCAGATTTCTGACTTGACATTTTTTGCAGTGCAGCATTTATGCAAATCATCCTGCAAATTAAACCAGATCAAAGGGCAAGCACCAAAGGAAGCATTATTGGCCGTCTCAGGCAAAACAATCTAATGCAACAAAATGAAAAAAAATGCAAGCAAGAAATTCATTCACACAAAACAGTTAAGTAAAAAATGGCAGCAGTCATTTAAGATGTTTCGCTGTTACAGAAATAACTGTATCAGACTTCAGACATGAATTAGGTTGGGTCAAATACAAGAGCGGTTGGCAAATCCCATTCGCCCCTGAAAAGAGAGGGGCTACATTCATTTGTGGTGTTTGAACTGTCAGTTTAGGCTAATTCTACTTATTTAGAAAACTTTCTCACATGTGAAAGTTGAAGCAGATGCATGAGAAGCAGGATTAAAGTAAACATTTGGAGTTTTCTGAACTCAAACAATGGAGTGGGTTCGGCAAAAAATCAAACTGAAGTTCTCTGAAGGTTTGGCTTGTCTGTGTTGGCTGTATCAGGTCCTTAAAAAGCCCTCCTCATCATTGTCCTGACTTGTCATCATCAAAAGGTCCTCTTCACACTATATTCCTTCGCTGAGGACGAAACTCCATAAATAGAAAATAGCTCATGTAGGTTACATTGAAAAGGACATCACATGTAGCACAAAAAAGCAAATCAAATCTTCGAAGAAAAGAAGTGGATTGTGTCCAAAATAACACGCCTTCTGTGACCATGTAGAGTCAAAATCTTATGTGGCCATTCTCATATAAAACATTACATTGTACAAAGGTTTCTATAAACAGTCTTGTTGTTCTTCTCGTGTTTCTTTTGCTTTAGAAAGGGCCTGAGTTGGTTTTGTTCCTTCAGATGTGGATGGATGCCTCCATCCTCGACCGGAGTCCGTCCTGGAGCAAATCCTCCAGCAGGATCAGTGGGAGTGTGCTTGACTCATCCTATACTAGCAAACACACAAAATCACACCTTTACATGGGCGGGACGATCATTCCTGGGATTGCTGTAGGACGGAGAGAGATGGAGAGAAAGAAAGAAAGAAAGAAAGAAAGAAAGAAAGAAAGAAAGAAAGAAAGAAAGAAAGAAAGAAAGAAAGAAAGAAAGAAAGAAAGAAAGAAAGAAAGAGTTGAAGGGGGAGATAAAAAAAAAACAGGATTTTTTTTTAAAAGGCAGCCAAATATTTTATCTGCACAGAGAAAAAGCTTCAATTATCCAAGCTAACATCGGCATCTTTTCCCATCTGTGCAGCTGTGTGACTGAAGGGACATTATGACAACATGAATAGGCAAATAAATCAGCAAAATCAATGACGGATGCATGTACAATGAGAACTGCTTTTCACAAACAGATACACATTTAATCATGTGCAGCCGCCTTTATTTAACTGCATGTTTGAATGTCTGCCTGACATACTGCATCATAGCGTGTGTTGTCCTTAAAGCCTGGAGATGGGTGTTGATGTGTGAGAACAGACTTCAGCCTAGAATGACATACTGTCCTGTTTGCGAGTATTAATCTTCATGGGCCTAAAATAAAAAAATAAATATGTTTCATGTACTGTTATACAATAGCAGGGTGTAAAATCAGAGAAATTTGTAATATTTGAAATTAGGCTGTCATGCACACTGAAAAGTATCGCATGCATTTGTAATCAGCGGAGGTGTCAAAAGTATTAATTTTTATAACTTAAGTAGAAGTATAAATCCTACTATTTAAAAAAACACTTTTGTAGAAGTTAGAGTATCAACCTAACTTACTCAAGTAAAAGTGTAAAAGTACAAATTTTAAAACTACTTAAAGTATAAAAGTAAAATTAATGCAGGAAAAATCTTAAGGACACATTTTTCTATAATTCTGGATAATAACTTCCTTATACTTAATTTTCTTAGTTTTATAACTAATGGTAACAGAGTCAGTTCTAACTTTGCATCATCTTAAGAAACAATTTATTTTGGTTTGTGCATCCACAAAGAAATTGTTTGGATGAAACAAATTATTTTGATGTATTTTAATTTTAATTTTTTTATATTTTAATAACAACAGGCCATAATTAAAATGAGCTTAAATGAAACAAAGCTAACAATTCTTTTTTAAAAATATGAGGAGCAGAAAGTAGAGATAATTGCAAAGTAGTAGAGGTAATTTTCTTTCTAAAAATAATTACTTCAGTAAAGTATAGATAGCTAAAAAGTAAGTAAGTAAGGTAACACTTCTGATAATCAGCCCACTTTATTTTGAGACCCCTTAATAAAATCCAGTGAAACCAGAAGCCTTCAGAAGTCACCTAATCAGCGACTAGAATCCACTTGCATTTGATAGAAGATGATTATAAACCCATCTGTTCTGTGACAGCGTCAGAGGATTGTTAGAGAACCTCGGTGATTGAACAGCATCATGAAGACCAGAGATAATGTGTTAGAGAAGTTTAAAGTGGGGTTGGGTTATAAACCGGTATATCAAGCTATAAACATAACAAATACATATTAGAAATGGACTAAAACAAAGACGTCTAGCTAAACCAATAAACCAGCTAATAACGGAAGTAGACATAGAAGCAGCCAGGAGGATACTTTTCTAAAGCAGGCAAAGAAGCCAACTTTCAGCCTCCAGAGTCATACATTTTATGTAAACAAATAAAGAAAGCAAGAAAGAAATAAAGCTAACATAAAAACAAACAAAACAAACATACCGGGTTAGTTTTTAAAAGGCCAGGCAGACAACAAGGAAAAAAAATGGTGCCATTTTATTTAAAACTGGAATTACTGATGAAAATCCTCCTAATAAGGAAACAGTAGTTTGATTTTTTCCCCCCTTCTTTTCAATAAACCCTGTGAGTTATCTTCCAGCTATGCTTCACCTGTGTCCTCGATCGCAAAAAAAGAACTACAGAAAATTGCCAAATAAATATAGTGTCGATATACAGTTTTACGGAGCCCCTAAAGGGACATGGAGGGGGAAAAAAGAAATTTTGAGAGATCCCGCAATACTTTTGTGAGATCTCGCAAAAATAAACTTTTGTAAGATCCCACAATACTTTTGCAAGATCTCACAAAACTATTGCGGGATCTCACAAAATGTCTTTTTTCCCCCTGCATGTCCCTTTAGGGGCTCCGTACAGTTTCACATTTCTGTATATGTACGTAATCACTCAATGCTTTAGCTTAGAAAGTATCCTAAAAAGATTTAAAAAAAGGTAAAAGTAGTAATAGTAATGTAGATCTTATATAAAAAGGCATGTTACAACAAACAAAATCCCACTGAAGTACACAAACAGGCCAAATTTGAATCAAATTGTCAAATTATATGAAAATAAAAGTCATTCAAAAGCACTAAAAAATCCTGGCAAGTGACCCGAAGGGATCAAAACTGGATGATGTGGTGAAGTTTGTTTAGTTGTCAGAAACAATGAATTAGGAAACATAAAACTTTCCAATGTTGCTCAGCCATAACAACAATCTATTTGTTATTTCAGAACCAAAATCATGGTTTCCTAAAATGAGGGAACAAATATTCTTCTACCTTTTTTTGACCTGTCATAGTTTCCATCTTTAATGTCAGACTTTAATATCCCCTCCTAATATTTTAAATGATCATGCAAAAATTAAAAAGCATAACAAACACAAGTTCAGCACTACCGGGGAAAAACTCAGCTAAACGTCTTCACTAAGTGTCGAGTTACTCTTGAAGTCATTGAGTGAGGCAGGTACACTGACAAACAAACTGTGGAGACTGTGGAACAGCTGTCTTCTCTGTGAGCTGAACGTGTGAGATCACCCAGAGTGCGACAGCGAAAGAAGTGCGTGTGCTGCAGTAAGTGGGTGCATTTCTTTTTTTCCCCCGATGTGCTTTGAGGCTTGGCTTTGAGTTCCCACACCCCCATACATGCTCGCTTCACACGCACAGCTAAACAAAGTCAGCCATGTTGAGAAATAAATTCCCTGTGCCAAATGTCTGTTACTGTCTTTGTAAATAACCAACTTCCTGCCTCTCTATCTCCCCGGCCAGTGAGAGGATAGGGAGGGGTTATGAGGCAGATGGTTACATGTGTAAAGTGAGCTGAGAAGAAAGGTGGAGAAGATTATGAGACAGATTAAGGATGGAGGAAATTATAAAACCCAACAATGGATCATCTATCTGGATTCAAATCTGTATCAGATTTTATTGTTATGCATCATTTAACATATTGGTAAGGCCCTATAACACCTTGACGATTTAGCCAGCGTATGCCTGACGTACAAAAAACCTGGCAAAAACATTGACGTACATTGAATAAGGTAAGGATAAGTTTTTACTAAGTTATGAGCACGCTGAAGTACACTGAAACACGCTGGCACACGCCGATATTTTTCAATTATGTCAGGAAATATAGAGTATGCTCAAGATTTCTCAGCGTATGCCATACGTAGGGCATAAGTACAAGTAAGTTATTTAATCGTTGACGTATTTAAATGTAAGTTACTCATAAGGGGGGGTGTCTAGCTTATCCAAAACCTATGAGTAACTTGTGCCTAACTTATGTGTAACTTATCAACAACTTATCTCCAACGCATATCAACGTATCTGATGTTTTCCAGACGACCGCTGAACACGTTTCTAACTTACTGCTACTGTATGATGGCATATTGACAACATTTTGGTATAAAAGTGGATTCACAGAAGGAAACCTTCAGTTCTCCTTCAAACTTCATCCTCATCATAGGGTAAGCGAGAAGGTAAGCAGAGGTGTCAAGTATCGAAGTACAAATACTTTGTTACTGTACTTAAGTGCAATTTTTAGGTATCTGTATTTTTCTTCCTACTTCTGACTTCTACTCATTACATTTTCACACAAGTATCTGTACTTTCTATTCCTTACATTTTTAAAACAAACATTACTCATTACTCTTGGCTTCGGTTTAATGTTTATAAATATATCATGTCATCCAATGCAGATCATTGGTGCCACCGCATCTAGTGAAAACTAGTGGAATTGGATGAGTCTTATAATGCAAACACTCATTGGTTAGCTAAAGGAAATCATCAGAAGCAAGCAGGTGTTCTTCAAACTGCAAACGTGAATTGTCTATGCCATGCTACAATGTGGGATTCAGAAAAAGATGTTGAAATGTCTGAAAGGTCGGACACAGGGGAGAGCGTATCGGGAGATGGAGACCAACAAGTCCTCCCTTATCATTGGCCCTATCTAAAATAAATTTTCGAAAAAGTCGAAAAATTGAGCTTTCAATTCATATAGTGGCATCTGGCTGTTTTTTTAAAGGTTACTTTATACTTTAAGTAGTTTTTGGAGCATATACTTTTTCACTTTTACTTGAGTAAAGAGGTCAAGCTGATACTTCAACTTTTACCAGAGTGTTTTTAAACTGCAGTATCTATACTTCTACCTAAGTAACAAATGGTTGTACTTTTGACACCACTGGAGGTGAGTGTGATGGATCCTCCTTGCGTTCACGGCCACGGCCACGACCAACAAACTTTATGCAGACATGACGCTGAATCTGCTACGACTGCAAACCTTCTTTCTTTCTTTCTTTCTTTCTTTCTTTCTTTCTTTCTTTCTTTCTTTCTTTCTTTCTTTCTTTCTTTCTTTCTTTCTTTCTTTCTTTCTTTCTTTCTTTCTTTCTTTCTTTCTTTCTTTCTTTCACTTTTTATTTATTTATTAATTCTTTTTTTTGGTGGGCAGTAAAGAGCAGCTAGGTTAACACTGTGACCAAATAAATCTTTTTATCCCCCTTGTGCATCATTTCATGGGCATTACTCTGCTGTGCGTTATGCATACATTAGGCTGTCGTTGGACATAAGTTCTGGACTTGTTATAAATACTCTATGTATACACCCAAAATTGAAAAAATACATAGAAAGTTCAGCGTATGGCAGCGTTTTAGAAGATTCTGGGACGTCAGGCATTAATTGTCAAGGTGTGACAGGGGCTTTACCCATTAATAACTCATATTTTACTTGATATCTTAATTTGTGGTTGTTTATGTATTTCAAAAAGTGTAGGGGGTTTCCCATTTAATTATTGTTTGGGCATGTGAAAGTAATAATGATGAATGTGGGGTGTCAAAATAAATTCTAGAAGCATGTCTCTGGTGTTATTTTTTATTTTTGGGCGGGGTTAGGGTTTTTGCTGTATCCCACATTATGATGCTTCCACCACTATGTTGCTAGCATGTTCAAAAGTTAGATTTTTCCACACCTAAGAATGCTTGTAGGTCAAAACATTGAAATGTGATCTCCTCTGACCAGTATACCTTCTGCTGTTTCCTCTACATGGGTTGTTGATCTATGACATTAAGTGGAGTGAATGTCAATTTTCATTCAATTTTAAATGAAGCTCTCTGTGTATAAATTGTTAGTTGTTAGATGCATAAAGTTCAGAGAGGTGACAGAAAAAAAGGGAGCTAAGGAACATACTTCAGGTGAAGGCCAGGCCTTGTAGAGAGCCGGCTGATGAGTACTTGCTAGAGTCCACAAATGTTTGATCTGGTAGAAAAGGCAGAGATGGAAGAATGAAGGAATGGTGAGAGAAAGATAAACAGGTCAGTGAAAAAACTGATGAAACGTTAGTTGGGGGAAAACATTATAATCCAGGCATAAAAATGTCACAAAAATACATGAAATTGTTCACACAATAAATGAGCAGAAGGATGTTACAATAACCATAAAAGGTAGAGAAGACTCATCCAGAGCGACAGAAGATAACTTATCTTAACATCTGACAACAGACTGTTTTTCCTGCCTTGGTAGGGGGGTTTGGTACTGGATCTGCTAAACATCACTCTTCACCTGATTTGGATGTTATGTACGTTGCATAACAACCAGTAAAGTGGGGCTTTCTGCTGTTCAGTCTTATTTTAAATAATCTGGATACAATCTGAACATGCCAAAAATGAATCTCAGCTGACATGGCTGGAAAAAAACAAAAAAAAAACAGCCTGGGAAACAAATGTGGATTCCAGATGATGCTTTAATATCATTGTAGAATAAATCCCATGAAGAATGTGGGGGGTGATATATTAGGCCTTTGCAGCACATGTACTCTGTGTGCTGTTTGTGAGATACTGATCCAAAGAGTTCACATTTTTAAGAGAAAACACTCGAATGAATCCTGTTTGTTGAACTGTTGAGGTTTCCTGGAAAGCTCTTCCTCTTCCTCTAATCAAATATCTAAAACTGGGGGCAATTAAAACTCACTATATTGGGAAGCATTTGTTTTAAAGCAGCCATGCTTCTATCTACCTCTCAATTAAGACCTTAGATCTAAAAAACATTTTACATTTTTTACATTTTACATACAACAACATTTTACACCCAAGTTAAATTGTATTTTGTCTATGTAACTATTCTAATAACTATTTGCATTACAATCAGATAACTCTTTATCCCAGTGATAATGTAACATATCTTTTTATACTGTTGTAGTAACTAATTTCATAAAATAGAAACCTCAGCGTTGCCAGTAAATAGTTTGTTTTTGCAGCTTTCATTATGTTTAATGATTATGATTTTTCTGTTTAATTTTCCCTGAGATTGGGCTTTTTTTTTTATAAAGTTTTTTTTAAGTGCTACAGTAAACAGTGCTAATGCTATAGCCAGTTAACTTCTGCAAAGGGATAGTTTTGATTTCAACGACCTGAAGTCCAAATCAGAGCTACATGTACATAATGGCATCATTACTCCATAATTATATCATTATAAACGTCTCATCCAGTTAGTTTTTTGTTCCTCTTCTTTTATTTTGTTTAACACTCTAAATAATATTCCCACTCTAACTGTAAATAGATAGCTTAACCTCCTTAACTTAAAATCAGATGAACTTATCAGCAAAATTACCTGCTGATTAACCCTGTAATGCCAAATGTATCATATTTGATACATATGGTTTCTGAAATGTTTTGCGTCTGACACCTTTTGCATAATTTAATGGTAAAAACTTTGCTCAAAATCCTATTGTACACAATCAGATATACCTGATAACAGAGGGCAGAAGACTACACAAAAAATAATCTTGACTTATCGCATAGTAATAAATTATTAATATCTTTTTACATATTTTGTTAGAAGGCCAAATAAGGACTTCAAACCAAAAAAAAAGTTATTTTCTGTTTTGTTTTATTCTTGGATCGGGCTTTAAAGGGTTAAGACTGCCAGTATTTAAGAAATGAGTCAGATATGGTTGTTCAGCATTTCGAGGGAAATATTTTGTTGTACACTCATCTATTTGTCATGGATTGCCTTACTCATAGCATTAATGCGTAATTTATGATATCGCTCTGATATTATAAATTAATGATGGAAAGGTCAGAGGCGGTCATCATTGCTATTCTGATGCACTTTCGATTTTAATCATTAAATACGGTTAATTGTTGTTCTTTTTCATTTGCCAGCATTAAAATCTAATTTCTACACCAAAGTTTTAAATATGACTTGCAAATATCCTATTCCTGATGAGCCTGTTTTCTGTTACTGATCAAAAACTGTTCCTTGCTCTGGTCCAGCTGAAGTTTTCAGGCTAAAGCCACAGTTAAGGGCAATGAGGACAGGACTGATGCTAAGCACCAGCATTAAGCACTGGTTTGGAGTAAAAACACCTCGTAGTTGAGGCACAAGATAAAAAAAAACAATAAGTATTAAATTGAATTCCTTAAGTAAGAGTTTATTGTCATGATATTCTGATTTTGTGAGACACAAGATAGTTTTCAGTATTTGTTTGAGAGTGATTTAAGAAAATAACAGGCATCTTAATACTTTTAGAGTACATGTAAATCAAGAAAGTTGTAAGAAAACACAAAAATATTTTTCTGCAGAAAATTCTCAAACCAAAAGTCTCTCTTCATCCTGACTGCTACCTCCAATAGATCAACCTAGTCAGTTACCTTGAAGTCCGTTTCCGTTGGCACTAGTGCAGGAGGGAGGAGGAGACGATGACGGCCGGACCACCGGTGCAAAGGCAGACTTTTGTTTAACGGCCGCTGACACCATGTTGGCCGGCGAGAAGGAGAAGACTCCGGAAGAAGAGGAACAGTTGGAGGGTAGAGAGGTGGAGGACGCCATGGTGGGACTGGATGGAACAACTGGGATGAAAGCAGGATCAACAAGAACAAGAAAAAGAGAGAAAGATTTTAAATGATCTTCTCAGTAAACTGAGACTTTTCTACACATGACTTAATTTTTATTGATGTGATTTTTTTCCCTTACAGTCTGTCATTTTTTTTTTTTTTAAAACATCCTCCCAAGAGCCTCATTAGGGCCTTCCAAACAGATTGTCAATTTTATTTATCAACGACATGCTTCAATAAAACAATAGTTTGATCCAAACATTTTTGCCAGTATTTTAACATTTATCTTTACATGTCTGCACATTTCCTCTTCTATAAATTATTATTTATTTATTTATTTATTAATTTTTTTTTTTTACAGTTCTCATCACCAGTGAGAAAGGCTCGCATTGGAAAACCCGTTAACTCCACCAGTTCTTCTCAGTGGAGCTCTCAGCTAAATTAGTGATTGCTTTGCAGACTTTGCAGCATTAAATCCTAATGAAAACGCTCTTTTTAGTGTTTGTGTTGGAGCATGGCAGTTTTTATGTCAGTCTAAATGCTCAGATTTCATATGTGTTATGATGACCATGCATGTTTGCACTGACTAGCATAAGGCGAGTTGGCTGCAGAGCCGTTGAGGAAAGTTGGCGAGCCTCCCAGGTTGCTCATGCCACCGTTGTTAGCGTAGCCATTCATGGTGCTGCTGACTGAGGTGTAGCTGGTCTGCTGAGGCGTAGAGCTGGGTACGTAACCATGAGGCGACACACTACTGCTGCTCCGGACAAACCCTGCAGTAAGGAATACAGTGTAGACAACTGTGTGAGGACAGTCAATGTAATGGGAGCAAAGGGGGGCCAATCAAACAAAGCTCGTTTCTCTTTATAGGAAAAGTCCGGTCATATTCAGAATTTAAACTTCTAAAAGTACTTTAAATATGAAATTATTACATACTGTTCAATAAATTATAAGTGATTTTAATTCAGAGTAATTTTCATTTTAATGTGCTTTACTGGAGGCATCCATGTTTGTCAAAGAACACTACTGCCACCAACCGGCTTGTGACGTCATGGTGCGGTATTGGCTGTTTAGCAAGGCCCAATGCTGTACCTGGTGTTTGTTACAAAGCCCTATTATCCAAGTTATCTTGGAAAATTCTCCCTTGAAATGTTTGCTACCTATTACGTGTTTTTTCTCTGGCCAGAAGTTCGATGGCAAATCCTCTCTCTTCAAGTTGGCAATCCAACAATGAACCGTCCGTGGAGGATCATGAATCAGAAAGGTGAAATAACTAATGTTTTTTCACTTTTAACCAATGTATTCTAACATCCAACTGCCATGCACGTGGGCATTGTCAATTTAACTATAGCTCTGGTGAATTTCAATGGTGAATTCCTCTGGAAATCTTCAATAATTGTTGTTGATTGCAGATGTGTCTAGTAGTTCCCATTGATTTTGATTGTAAAGCGGGGAGAATGGAGCTAGGCTTACCGCACCGTGACGTCACTGCCGGATGATGTCAGGAGTTAGGTGTTACTATATTTGGGCAAAAATGGATGCTCTCACACTCAGTGATCGCAACGAAAAATATATATATATATTTTTTTATTGATTAACGCTAAATTCATTAAATCAACACGAACATATTAGTTTTAGGTATAAATGATGATCCATTGGTCATTTCTTGCTGCCCGGACTTTTCCTTTAAATCATCCTAAAATCCTCTTGAAAGTTGAAATTAAACAGCTAGTTTTGACTCATTTAAATTAGATTCTATAATTCTAGAGTATTTATTTATTTATTTATTTGAATAGGGACAAAGCACATTAATGAACATCAGTATAAAAACAAATGTAAATATGCCGGATTATAGCTACAAAGCTAGTTTTCATCCTTAGTCCCTAGGCAGGCAAATACATAAGAAAGAACATATAATATACAATATAAGCATCACAAGGAAATGTTAAGAGTTTAGTGGTCACATGACTGGTTTGTTTTCATCCATAATTTGAGTTGAGCAGTTATTTAACAGTTGCTTAAATATTTCCAGTGTATTAAAAGTTGTCTGTCTAAGAAAGTCCAACTAATGGTATGAGAACATTAATTTGACAGTAATACCTTGTATGAGTATTTGTATGTTTGATTTAAGTTATTACTCTCCGCTTTATAATAAAAGTAAAATTGACCTTGATTGACTTGTGAGGGTTCTGTGACGTTGACAGACAGCTGCCCTGTGAACGAATTTACTCCCATCATGCCTGTGTGCGTTGAGCCGGACAGCTGGGTGTGTGTTCGTGGAACGCTGTACAGAGCTTCTGCGATGTCCGCTGCTCTTTTCAGGATGATCTCCTGCAGGAAGAGGGAACAATATAAGCATGGCACCAGCTTAAAACGTCTTTCTGTATGTTTGAGGGTATGTAGCTACCTGGTTGTTATGAGGCAACCCATAGAGCGCTTCAACCAGATCCGCTGCTCGTTTCAAAATCACCTCCTGAGAAAAACAGAGGGCTAATGTTAAAATATTTCTTCTTTACATTGTTGTTGAGTTTTTCTTTTTTCCCCCTTTTTTTATGCATGTGCCATTTTCATAAACCAGCACCCATTTTTTACATCATTTTCATGATAAACAAATTGCACTTTACTCTTTCTAAAAGGAAGATTATCGCCTGTCAACCTGAGAGCTTTTAGGCATTTCAGCAGAGTGACAGGTATTTAAAATCAGATCTTATAACAATTTAGCCACAAAAAGTTCTTTTAAGGCTCATCTGAAAATTCAAATAAGACTTTAGAGATCCCCTAAAATGCTATTTGATAAGTCAATGCTCTTTCAGTATTTTTACTGATTCTATAAAAGCTAAATAAGAGCCAATCATATGTTCTTCTTAGAAACTCCTATGAAAAATAACCAAAATATTTTAATAACAATTCTTTTTAACTGTCTTGTCCTTTAAATCGCCCCTATTTTCTTTATTTTAAATGCCTCTCTGATCCCTTTTACCCTTTTCTCCATCAGTTCCATTGTCTCATCCTGCCTCCACCTTTAAAACTGCCCCCTCTGTTCTCTCCACAATCTAAAAGTTCTGCTTTTCTCCTTCTCCGTGGTAGCTACCTTTATTTTTTCCGTTCTCTCCTCCCACCCTAAGGTCTAAGGTGTCTTGTTTAACAGTTAATGTGTTGTCGTTCTCACAGCATTAGGTGACAGAGAGAAAATTGCTCTGCACTTTGCAGAGTTAACCTGCACGGTGTGACACACTCTCTCACACATGCTTACGGTTCACCGCGTGTGCACTCTCCTGTGAGTTTGCAGCTCTGGAACATATTGCCTCCCCATCAGTGTGTGCACATTTGTGTGAGGATATGAAAGGTCGCACAGCCAGTCAGCAGTTCTAGTGTGTCTGTCAACTGAGCTGAATTCAATCTTTTACAGATTATTATTTCCATGCCGCCTCTCTGTTAACCTGTCATTATTAGGGTTGGCAAGCTGAACAGCTCTCAGACACACTCACACAGCCCTCCCACTCACAAAAATATACACACGAACAGAAACCCGATCTTGGGTGTTGAAGTGGTTCCGGTAAGACCATTTGCTGATAAACGGGAAGGAAAGATGATCCCCTGGTTACATCATTATTATCAGATCTGCAGCTTTGTGCAGCTGCATCATTGCAATGTTTTTACTGTATAATTCACTGCACTTTGACTTTTCTTTAATTATGTGTTTTACTTAAAGGAAAACGCCATCAGTTAATTAATTTCTCATATGTTGATCTGTAAATAAGAGGCATTGTTTATAAGAAAACCTCAAGTTTTAATTCCATGTTTAGAATTTTGTTGCCTCTAATTTATATTCCCTTAATTATTCTTCCAGAGTTAATGAAGGTGCTTCAAGCTGCACTGTGCTGATGTAACTCTAACAACAAAACAAAATTGATTCTGGACTTATTTATGCTTTTCAAGCTGATTAAAAATGCAAAAGACTTTTGCTCTATCATTTCTTTAAAACTAAAATCTAAAAAAAAATGTGTTATAAATGTTTGTTTCAAGGTCTTTGAAATTTAAGTTAGTTCAGGTTCCATTTGTCACAAATATGCTTCTTAATCATCCCAACTGCTTAGATTTAGACTGTGGTCAAGGCAGGGTTATTGTCATTAACAAAAACAAACAAAATGGCGACTGAAATAAGAATAAAAACTGTATTTTAAATAGAACCGAAAGATAACTGAAATTGTGATTAAAGTTTACAAAACGAATTACAATTACTGAATTTCAGAGAAAATATGCTTAGTTTTAAAATTTTTGTCTTCATTATAATGCATTAACATTTGGTCTAGTTTCAGTTTCCTGTTTTCTCTCTTTTCACTGTGCTGCATTACGCTAGCAGCGAGGATGGTTGTGTTGCTTCAATGGTCTTCCCTAATCCAAGATTTTGTTTCTTTTATTTCTTTTTATTCTTTTTGGTCAACCTAACTGAACGCAACTCAACGTTATTTACAGTATAAAGCCCTTTAAAATAACCCTGGCTGCCACAAGGTGCTTCACATACCAAGGAAAGTGAAAATTATATAAAACTAGTTAAAGTTTAAAAGAATACCACAAATAGAATAAAATACATTAGTTAAAGCAAATAAAACCATAAAAACAAAACAATAAAACAAACCAGAAACACAAAAACTCATGCAAAGTCTCATGGTGTGTTGAAAGCCAAAGAATAAAAAAAATTTTAAGACAAGTTTTAAAAATAGGCAGTGAAGAGGATTATCTAATGAGGAGGGGGAGCCTGTGACACATTTTTGGAGCACGAACTGAAAAAGCTCTGTCCCCTCTGAGCTTCAGTTTGGACCCTCAGTACCTCCAGGGGCAGCAGGTAGGGAGGGGCCAAGCCATTTAAAGCCTTAAAAACAAATAAAATAATCTTAAAATTAACAAAAATACACAGGAAGCCAATGAAGACAGGCCAGGATGGGAGTTATGTGCTTCCTCTGATGTACAAAATGCAGCCACACGCCTTTAGTTAAAAGGAACGGCTGCATTTTGAACCAACTGGAGACGTGCGACTGAGGACTGGCTCACCCCCTAATAAAGTGCGTTACAGAAATCTTGCCAAGATATAACAAAGACCTGTATTACGGTTTCAGTGTGCTGCTGTGAAAGAAAAGGTTTAACCTTGGCCGACTGTCTGATATGATAAAAGCTTGACTTTACTAAAGAGCTGATTTGGAGATGCAATTTAAAACCACTGTCTATCTTAAAACCCAAGTTTGAGATGAAAGGCTTTAAAAAAGTGGCAAAAAGGCCCAAGTCAACAAGAAGGGATTCACAGAGGTAACTTGCACCAAACACCATCACTTTAGGCTTTAATGTCAAGGCATGCCAGCAGTGGTGCAAAAAAAACTTTTTTTTCTCCATTAATCTATTATTTTATCTATATCTATTTTTTATCTAGTCTATTATTCATCATAAAAATTAAAAGCGATGCCATGCCTTCTCAGGATGGACTCCAAGGGCAGCAAATACAATAAAACGAGAAGGGGTCCCAACACTGAACCCTGTGGAACCCCATTAGGACAAATAGTGGAATGTTCTCCAGCGGGTTGTCAATCAATTACATATAATAACAAAACTAATAACAACTAAACTGAATCTAAGCATTTTCAAACTAAAATGGACTTGAAAATGGACCAATGAAAATTTCAAAACTGTTTCAACCTTGGGTCCAGGCATTAATGTATATCATCTGCAAACAATCTGAACAGACTTGTAACTTTATTTTCTAAAAACGAGTGGTATATAGGTGTATATAATAAATGTTCATCATATTCCTAGAGTTGAATTTGAATTAAGTTTAAATGTTTCCCACCTATGGATGCATGGATGTACTTTCCAGTCTAATGTTAAAATATGTACGGTATGTGATAAATTGGTCTTCTTCACTTATCAATGTGTGAATGAGAGTTTGTTTTTCTTTTTTTTCTCTGTTGTCCTGTAACCCATAAAGGAGGTCCCAAACCTTCATCATAAAGACAGCTGAAGATATTTAAGAATCAAAAATAGATAAGAATAAGCTCATTTATTGATGGTAACAGTTGGATTTTGAATTTATTCTTAGTGATTTATAATTTAATTTTTGAACCCATACCTTTGGATTCTTCAGTGTGGCACAAAGCCTTACTTTCAAGTAACTATGCTAATCAAAAGGATTAATCAATATTGTAGTTAACGGTAATAACAAGAATAATGGAAACCTACTTTTATAGTTTTGCTGTTAGAAACTGAGGTAATAATTTACTGCAGCTACAGTAAAACATGATTCTAAACCTTTAATCTCTGCTTGTTCGATGTCATCACTGTGTGTTCTGTCAATTTCCATGTATTTATGGTATATTTACCTAACATGTAGAGATCTCACACTTCTTGTCTTGAGAAAAACTTACATCTCAATGCCAAATTAGCTATTTCAGTCATTTTTACCACAGTTTGACATAATCTTTTCGTCAGCAGCCTTTCATCCTTTACATGATCTGCTTTAGGAAAATATGGAGAAAGACTAGAATCAGATAAAAGACGTTTTGGTGGGAAGAAAGAAAAAAAAAACTTACAGTAATTGCCAAGGTGCTTCTTCCTAATTTATGAGCTGTGCTAATACAATAGCCGTACAATCAAATACACATATGCTGTATGCATTAAGACCAGGAAATGTTGAGCTGAGCACTCTATGGGGGTCACATGTGTGTGTAACATGTGCCTAACAAGCACATACATGACACATATATGACTTATTTCTCCCTAATGCTGGTACATTAGGAGCTTTATCTGCTTCTAATGGGCCATTAGGGATGCCGGACATGAGGGTTCACCCTTGGCGTAGGTATGATGTCATGCTTTTCATGTGGGTCTCAACTGTACACTAAGGAGGAGGTATCGACAAGTGTCCACAAATATTCTTTGGAAATAATCTGTTATGTTGTGAGATGGCGGCTTCAGATTTCATCGCCCCCTCCCTGATGGTGGAGTCAGTTTATGTGTAGGAGAGTCATACACATACGTCTTAGCACAGCATATGTTAGATGGCTTCACGTATAGTATATCTTCATGCATCCCTTACATTACTCACACTCATCCAGGATTATTCATCTCGGTGATGCCGATGATGTGACCTCGCAAGGTATGACATCAGTGAAATGAGGTGCGATGCGATGTCAGCTGTGTGAGTCACCAAAGGGACCCACCTTACTCTAAACAGACCATGTATGCTGAGGTGTTTCCCCATTGAAATATCACCTATTAGTTGACTGCTAATAGTTAGTTCATTAGTTTTATTCTCTTTAAACCCATTTTTGCACCACATACGCTCATAATGACCATTTTGACAGTGTTTCCACAGTCTGCCCTGTTGGTTCAGTTTGTTTCTTCATGTTTGTGTGGTTGTTGTCATTATTGACCCCTTCTTTAAGGGCTTCAACTTCAGCTACCCTCATGCTCTTTCCTATTAGCTTCAATCTGCCCATTTTGTATAGTTTGTGTGTATTTGAATAAATCCAAAATGGCCTAATTAAGAAGGATATAATACTTTTGGAATGATGAGCTTTTTTTGTCACCATCTGGAACCAAACGCTAAATGTTGTTCAACGTTGTCTTTAATTTCTAAGATTGGAGTCCGCTCAGCTCAATAAAAACCCTCTAAATATGGCTGACTGGTTCTGTTACCTGTAAATTTGAAATGACATAATTCTCATCACCTACTGTGTAATGGCCAAAGACTGACCTATATTAAAAATATGATTACTGAAAATGACCAGTCTTGCTCTCTAATTTTTCCATTTGGAGGCGGAGCCTTTGATATCAGACACCATCTCTGTGGGACCAGCTGTCAATCATATTTTTACTGTAGCCTATGTTGAAGTTGTTTTTCTTCTGTGTGCTCTGTTTATGAACAATTATCAGCTTACATGACTTTTAAGTAGCTCTATTTATCTTGTAACATTTTACTGTATGTAGTCTATATGGAACCCCCCCCCCGCTTTTTTTTTGTGTTGAACAGTTTTAAGGCAATTCCAACAAATATTACAGAGGGCCGGATCTATCAAAGGTTTGCGTGTATAAAAACGTGAGCTATTTCACTGCGCACGCTAAAACTTGTACAAACTGATCTATCAACAGCGTGCTAAAAGGATTTGGTCTTTAAAACGTGCTATAGCGCCTCTTATCCATTTAGTACTTTTTCTGCAATGAATATGCAATATGGGGCGTTTACACGCAAAAGTGCGTCTTGTGGGAGGAGAACATGTAAATATATTAATTTAGCACTCGCAAAGTGATTTATCAAACCTGAAAGCAATTTTGCTAACGGTATCTGACTCTATATTTAACACGTTTCAAAAGAAGGTGCAAATGGTCTGTATGCGTAATTGCGCACACATGGCAGCGGTTACTGTCGCAAGAAGGAGACATCGAAATGAAGCAAGGAGACACAGAGAACGCATTTTTTCACTCCGTGTGAATATTTTTGGAATGAACGAGGAAACGATCATTAAAACATATCGTTTATCCAGCATAGCCATTTTGGAGCTGTTGGGGGAACTCCGAATGGATTTGGAGCCAGCCACAAGGAGGACCCACGCAATACCAGATATCACAAAACTCCTTGCAACATTGCACTTTTTTGCATCTGGGATCTCCCAATCTCGTTTTTCAGAAGTGCCCGCAGTCATCTTATTGTCACTTCTTGTGAGCCATTTGGTATGTGCATTTTTCTACAGGCCAATACAAAACACCGTTTTTTTTTTTATATATATATATATATATATATATATATGTATATATATATATATATATAATTTTATTTTTTGGGATTGGGTGGGGGTGTCACTGTAAGATTAAAATTTCTTAATGCACTAGTTTGCACAAACTACAAACTACTTTGCCGCAAACCACAAAACGCGCAAAACCATCATTTAAATAGGGCGTCTCCAACAGTTTTGCACCTGCCACAAGTTACGCAATCGCTCTTGTTAAATCACCCGCAAACCATGGTTCAGCCCCTCGCGCAAAATTCCAGTTTGCGAGTGCAAATTACTGCACGCAAAATTGGATCTTGATAAATCCGGCCCAGAATGTATGATAAGTTTTGTATTTGAACAAGATATTAAAAATGATCAGTTTAATTATTTTGGTGTACAGCAAATATAAAAACTGTCGTAATTGTGTAAAAATATGTCTCATCTGACGTAATAGTGCAAAAAAAAAAAAGATTATGTATAAGACTCAAAGTCACCCTCTATGCTTAGTAAAGCAGCATCCAATTTTATTGTGAAATGTTTCATCTTCAGACAATAAAGAAAGGGTCAAAGTGAAGCTGTAGGTGATGGAGTTTCAATCAAAGTAGAACATCTACTACCAAACAGTACCTCCGAACATTACTGCGTCCCAGTGAAAACGTAGGATAAGGGCAATCCCTATACACACTGTATGTGTCAAATATGGATGGATGCTGAGAAGATCACAGTGACACAAACTGGCAGCTGAATTAATGTGTGTGAGTGTGTGTTGCCAGCAAAATCCCCTGAATGTTCACTGAACAATTATAGAATCGGCTGTTCGCTGGTAATCCTCTCACACACTCCACTGCCCTGTCTGTCTGTCGTCTGTGTGGCACCGCCAGCATGGTCTTAGAAATCATGCACTGACTGGTCGCCACCTGACAGGCAGCCAAGGATGCATCTGATTCCTGTGAACTCACTCATTTATTCCAACTTATTACCATGGAAGAAAAACAGAAAAATACTGAAGTGAACTGGGACTCAGAGTACTGTCACAATACGGATATAACAGTTACAGCCTCTGATGACTCTACAGAGCTTAGTGCAGAACCAATCAAATAAGAAATAAATAAATGACCCTCTAAAAGCAACACCAGCTGCTCCAAATATAGTCATCATGCAAATACAGATTTAACTTGATCCCTGATCGATTTTTGTATTTACAGCAGCACGGCTGCTCTCATTGCAGCTTGCCTGGAAATATCTCAGGTGACATCATGATGCTGAAAATTAAATTAAACATGGGAGGGAAAAAAACATGACCTCAAAAAATGTAGCTTATAAATACATTTTGTCTTATAAATTAGAAAATTTCCAGTTTCAAAATGCTACATCAGGATTTTTATGTGTCAGTTGTGCAAACTGTATGCCTCCAATAGCCTGCAGGCAATTCACTTTATCCATATTGCACCAACTCACAACATATGTCCTCTTAAAGGAACTTTACAGAGACAATTTAACCAGATCCTACAGTCAGATTGGTGCAAAACTTTCTCAAAACTTTCTATGGAAAACCAGCTGATTGCATAGACTCATTGACTCCAAAGCAATCAGTCACACCAAACATACTTGTAGCGACAGTGGAGAGGAAAACTCCCTTTTAACAGGAAGAAACCTCCAGCAGAACTCAGACTGATTCAAACGGGGTTACATTCAGCTTCAGTTTGACACTTTCTTTATTGTCAGGAAGAAATCTCCACCAGCTCAGTGTGAAAAATAGAAGCTGACATTGAAAAAGGAGCACAGATAGAAAAGGTAATTAGCTTCACAGATGGCCTAATCCAGGACAGACACAGCACAACACTCTGTGTTGTGCTGTGTGGAGTATGCACAGTATTATTATCTGTTATTCACAAAAAAAACAAAACAAAAAAAACAACATAGAACAGATTTTAACTTTGCAAAAAAAGGCCATCATACAAAACTTACTTCAAGAGTGGAATAACAACTGATCCATAAGATGCACAAAGTCTCATGCAAAAACAAACAAAAACACATTAAAAAAAAAACATTTGAAAGAACATTTATAACAATGGCAGAAAAAAAAGGGTACTTTTTGGATGATGTGTTGTTAGTTCAGGCACAAAACAAACAGAGCATTTCATAAAAAAGAGCACTATTCCAACAGGGAAATATGCTGGTAACAGTTTGATAGTCTGGGTCTAATGATGCAATCTGAAGGACTTGCTGTTAATTTATGGAACTATAAAGAAGACTCTCTACCTAAATGAGAATGTCCGCCCTTCACTTCCTGAAAATGACATTAGGGTGTGCTGCCTTGGCTGTGCTTCAGTTGGCATTCTGTGACATGACTTTAAAATATTCAGCTCATGGTTAAAAACCATCCAATGTAGCTGAATTAAAAGAAAAGAGGAGCGGTCAAATTCCCTTTTACTGTGATGGTTGCCAGTTATCACAATAACAGCTTATGGCTCGATGGCTGTCTTTGGCACCTGGGGTAACAAAAGCAGTCAACCCGGGTAATTATTTTTCACATCAGGCCGATATTGTTTGGATTGCATTTTTCTTTTAACAAAGGACCAGTCTGGTGAAGCAGCTGGAAAGAATAAAGATGTTTTCATAGTGGTTACTCTGTACACAACGAGGGTGTAGCTGCTTCTACTAACGTCCTTTAAAGTCAGCACAATAAAGCTCGGCACAACTGACAGATTAGTTTAGCATTTTGTGACCTTGAGTTTTGCCTTTCCCATCCTGAAGGAATGTTGAGCCCCAGAGCGGATCGTTCTGGGGCTCAACACCGTTTTGGTGCGTTTTTGTGTTCTGAGTTACACAGGTTCCCACGATCATGGTGCACACTTCATGCAATCGTAAACACATGTGGATGGATGGGTGTTGGCATGACTGTGTTGACATCAGAGCATCGACACATCATCACATCATGACCAGCGCCTCTTTTTTTCATGATGTCACACAGAAGACAGCTTTTTTGTGGACCAGATCCAGTACAAAAAAAAGGGAGAGTTTTTCAGGAGCAGCTGCTTATGGAGAACGCAAAATACCTTCCTGTAAAAATGAAAATTTCAATTGGGTTTCGGAGCCCACACATGAAAACAGCCGCTCCTGCATGCACAGCTCAAGATGACAGAGTTTGGTATCAAAGCACCACTCATCATTTGTTGTTAATTATTTACATCTGCTGATCTTTGAAATACTTTGTTTGATTTAGAGCTGACAGACAAATAATCAGATATGACTCTGATCTGGAAAAGAATCACTTGGCCTGTATTTACAAAGCTCATACATTGAAAGTTCATGAAGAGACTAAAGAGCAACCCACTAGGAAGTTGAAAACACATATTTTGTTAGAAAAAGAAAAAGAAACATAAAAAGATGTTTGCATGCTTTCTGACCCTCTATGTTTATCTCAGCAGCTTTTGAATAAAAAGCGAACTGAGATGTTTCATATTTGTAGTCACTTTTCTTCAGAAGCATTTTTCTTCTTAACTTTGGAAAAGGATGAAGCTAAAAACGTCTGTTACCTTTGGAAGCCTCTCAGGGTCCCCAGGGTGCCGAGGAATAACCTTCTGAAGCCTCTGGAAGCCGTAGTCGATGGTTGGTTCATTCAGCGCTGCAGAAAACAGATATAAAAAGTGGATTAGTAAAGTTACTTAATAGAGATGACAGTAAACAGTTCATACTTTGCTCTAATATAACATTTCATTTAGTGATGGAGATAAAACTGTTCTGTGATGCATTATAACCTTAGTAAATTAGTGCTTAACTATCTAAATGATTGAAAAACATCAAACATTAAATCCTTTCCTGTGAACAGGAAAATCACTTTTTAAGAAAATTTAAAGTGCAAACCTTGTAACAAATGATCACTATCAAGTCAACCATTACTTCTTAGTGTATTTTGCTCGAACAATCCCCAGTATGTCCATTAATGATAACTAAAGGAGTTATTAAGTTCCTCAGGTTTACAGTCTGCTGCAGAGGAAGGTAAAGATGTCTGCCGAACTTAAAGGCTATTAAAAGTATATTGACATCAGCTCTGTGCACTTTGGAAATGTAAACATTTTGATGACTTCACAAACAGCAGTGTTTCATACCAGCAAATAACTTACAAAAATTTAAGGGATATATTCCTCTAGGGATGCACGATATTGGGATTTTGGCCGATATCCGATATGCCGATATTTTAAAACTCATGTAGCCGATAACCGATATAGATACTAATGTTAAAGCTGGACAAAAATAAGTAGTCATTGAAAATAGCAGTTTTGTTATCCATTTCTGACACTTTGAAAAATAATATACATAAATATATTTTCATATGCTGATATCAAATAGATTTTTTAAAAACGCGGTATCGATCTGTTTAACTTTCAAAATCTCGTGAAATTTCATCGTTCTGTTACAAACTCTCGTGATATTTTGCAAATTCTTGTGAGATTTTGTTAGTAAAATAGATCGATACCGCGTCAATATATCAACATATAAAAATATGGGAAAATTTTGTGAATTTTCGGGGGACTTCGTAGCATAATGATGACATATAGCAATATTTCATTAGTAAAAGAGATTGATATGGTGTTTTTAAATGGCAATATATCAGCATATGAAAATATTGTGATATTTTAATGTAGCAATATTTTTTCCCTCGTCTTTAGAAGTTTTTAAGTCTGTAGTTTTTGAGGAAGAAGAAGAAGTAGTATTTCGTTTTTTTTTTTTTTAGACTTTAGAAACTCAGAAGCTGATCAAATATCGGGTTAAATATCGGTGGGGTGGCCGATGTCTGATATTCAGTTTTAAGGCCGATACAGGCCGATACCGATAGGGGGCAGATTATATCGTGCATCCCTATATTCCTCATATAAATGCAAAGTTCATCGCAGTAACCCAAACATAATGAATCATTATTTCAAGTTCAGGACCTGACAGAAAGGACTTTATTTCTTTAATGGTAAAACAGGAGCAAATCAGAAACTTGACATATGTACCCACGGTAAAAATTGAGATAAAAAAAAGACAATCAACAAAATAATCACCTCAAGTAATTGAAAATTGCTTTTTCAAACCCTGAAGTCCCTTTCCAAAAGACTAATAACAGGTTGCACATAGTTGCATCTGCATCCTCTCTGCTTATTACCTGTTAGCTGCCCCCCATTAGAATGCTTTGCCATGTCCAAAAACCTCTGCTTTGTTTTAATGCCGAATGCAATCCACTAGTGTCAAATAAATTCTGACCTAATGGTTGAAATTGGTATTCACCACCAATCTTCTGAGAAAAAAACATTGTGTATCGTGCAGAAATTCATAAACTTTAATATTGTCCTTTTTTTCATTGTTGATTAAAAGTTTAAATTAAACTGTGCTGGTAAAGGACCAGTCATCTGTCTACTTTTAAAGTTTGCTGAGTCTAGTTTCAAAATGCTACATGTCACACCTTGAAATCTTCTCTTCCTGTGTTCAGCCTGAATCTGCAAACCTAATTAGCACACACTGAATCCCAACAGCTGTAGCAGACAGCGGGAGTTTGAGAGTCTGACTATTGAGACGAAACAATCACCTTACATTTCTTTTAGAGTGCCCCACTCCACAGGAGCTGTAAGTATATTTATAAGCTTATTAAAAGATTGAAAAAAAAAGAACCATCAGAAAAAGAAACAGTTTATTTTTGATCATCTGATCACAACAGAGCAATTCACATTGTTTTGTAAAATGACATTTAGTGTTTACCTGGTATATTAATGTTTCTGCATATTTTTTTAGATAGGTCTTGCAAATAGAACATATAGTACACAGATAATATATTCATCTGGAAATGAACAAGCTGCTGGTTGTTAAAACAGACACGATAAGTGAATATTCCAAAAAGAATTTGCAAATGCAGAACCCATTGCATTTTTCAGGGTAGCCATGTTAATCCCAAGATAAAATAATGATATGCAATAACTCACATCTTTGGTGGAAGTTGGGATTTTTGTTTTCTATGCTACATGGTGAATTATCTTTAGTATTATAACTGAAGAAGTGCATAGGACATTGCAGACTTTGCAACAGCACTGTCAAGTTAAAATGAATTAGGAAACCTGAAGGTATAAGGAGGCTAAAGTCTTAGCATGAGGACACAAATGGCCAATTCATACTTTAGCAGTACTAGTATTTGAATCCTCATTGCTGCACCAGGGACTCAGATGTTACCATCTAAAAAAAGGACATTTGCTATGTAAATAGATAAGTAAAGCTGATGGAAAATCTGCAAATTTAACTTTGAAAAGCAGATTGTTTATATGGGGTCAAAACCGGCTGGGTTTAAGTGCTGCTACATGACATATATATATGCTAAAAAGGTTCAAAGTAATGGTGTCAAAAAACATCTGTATGTTAATGCTACTACAAGTACAATCAGAAAAGGTTTTAAAGAACACTTAGGGCTCCTTTAATGTTCAAATTACCTTCTTCCAAAGTCTTTACCCAATCAGGATGTCAATCAAGATAAGCTCTGAAAGCTCTGTCCGTCAGGATGATGTTTAAGGCTTTATGGGTGTGAGGAGTGTCTTAGCAATTTTCAGTTCATTGATAGATGCTGAACAGTGTCATCGCCACATTGTTGAGCCCTAAAAATTCCGCAATATGAGAGTCAGAGGTAGAAATAATGCCAGATTAATATATGGACATGTGGGAAGTAAAGGGGTGTGTTTGTGCATGAAGTCCAAGAGTGCAGCTGCAGCGGTGATGTTTGGTACTTTCCACAGCCAGCGCTGATAAATTACTTGCAGATGAATGTCCTTGGCTTGTTGTGCAACTTTTTTAGCATACACGTTTTTTGGTATACATATGTCTTTGTTATTCACACATCACACCCAGGTCTCTGGTTTATGTTACATCCTAAACCGCATAATTTGTTCTCAGCACTCCTTTATAAAATACATGCTTTATTTCAGGCGTTAAAGTCTTGTGGGCAGCTTTTAAGAAAGCCCACTGGGCACATTAAGATTTTATGATTCATATGTGGTAATTACATGGAGAAGAATTAGGGACTGAGAGAGGTGGGTCAGCGCAGGCAGAAAAAAGATACACAGAACAAAATCGACAGCTCTAAGCAAAAGTAATGATATAAAATTATTTGGGAAATGCAACTATGCATTGGTATAAAGTCATCGTTTTATTTCCATTTTTCTGTTTTTCCAAAACGAAGACCTATATTTATTCTTTATAAGGTAAATGATTAAAAACATCATTTAAATGGATTCTGGTATATTTCCAGCAACATAAATGAAAGAAAATGCAGATAATGCCAATTACTCTCCTTGGCTTTTATTTTATTAATTTTTTTTCTCAGTGGTGTTTTTTACATGTTTCCTCCTCAACCATTTTTTTTTTTTGCATTTTCCTGTTTTTTGTGCTATAGAATTTGTTACAATTGAAAACACTGATTCATTTAAGAGATGGAAAAAGTCTGTAAAACATCTTGCTGTACTTGATATAAATTGTTTAAAACATAAACCTCTAGATTTTGTTCAGTTTTAACTAAAGAGAACAGTATTTTTTTTTCTTCACAGATTGAGATGTAAAGGAAGCAATGCGAGTGTGAGAAGTAAGGTGTAGGAAGGACAAAAGAGGAAGAACTTTGGTAAACAGACAAAAACAAGACAAAAAAAGGAGCACTCAGTCATGGTTGAGGAAAAACAAAAAATTAGAAAAACAGCTGCCTAACAGTCGGCGGGATATCAACTGTCAGAATCAACTGCCAGTGTCAGATCCCCTCTCTGAGCATCTCTGGAGACGTTTAACCGATGCCAGAGCTAATATGGCACACACTGCCGAAGAGATACGCACATACATAACAGCACAGCTCAGATTAGTTTTAATGATTTAATTCAAAATTTCTCACACTGCCTTATTAAAATACGGAACAATATGATGTTTGGATAATTTTCTCTTTGGATTTTACAATGCCTGGCAAAATATTTCATAATAATTTACGTTTTCCACAACCCTTAATGTGTCTCATTAGGATTTTATGTGATAAACCAACACAAAGTAGAATAGAATTGTGAAATGGAAAGAAAATAACACCTTTGCTTAGCCACCTTTACTCAAAGACTCCAAAAAAAAGACCTGTTTGACATTCATTCTTCAGATATGACAGAGTTACCAAGTAGATTCTACCTGTGTGTTGGTCAATTTAATCAGACTTGTTCCGGAAAGAATCATGAGTTTGTTAGAGAGCACATTGGAGAAGAAAATAAGGAAGGAATTAGACTTTTTGAACCAATATTCCAAGTCTTGAACATCTCATGGAGAACTATTCAGTCAGTGCAGAAAATGCAAGAAAGAGGTAAATCTGCAAACCAACCAAGAGGTGGCAATCCACCTAACATGACAAACCAACAAGGAGACTAGAATGGTAACTGCAGAGAGCTACAGGTCAGGTAGGACAAACTGTAGGCAGGAGCCATGCACTTTACAAAACTGGCCTTCAAAGGGGAAAGCTAGAAAGACAATTAGAGGTCATTCCTGTAATTTGCATGGGGCATAGGAGAAATAACAACATGTTGGTTGGTCAGATGAGACCAAAACTCAATGGCCTACATGTAAAATATACACAAACATTTATTG